AGACAGGGGCACTCTCGGGGATAACCCGCTTGAAAAGGACACCCGTGAACTTGGGAGGGTGAATAGCGAACTGAATCGCATAGTCCTCCCTATCGGGATTGCACGCTTCCCAACGTACTGTCGTATTTTCTAGAATTATCTAGATGCTCACGACTTCCCAAAAAATATATCTAAATCCGTAAAACTTCTGTTGAAGTAGGATAAATTAGGGCCAGGGACACGTTGGAGGACCGCGCCTCCCATGATGTGGGTGGGTCACGCTTGCTTGACAATCCCCTCATCGGGGGCGTTGGTAAGGTGCAGTCATTATGGCGCTTTCCATAGTTCTCCCATTTCGTGGTTTTTCACAAAGATCAAATCCACTTAAATGCACTGAAGTTCCCCAACCGAAGGGGAACGTTCGAGGTTGCAGAAGTAACCCTTCGTTCCCCGAGGAGGGGAACGGAAGTGCTATACTCCGTCGCCATAATGACTGTCCCTTAGCTGTTTGAAAGACTCTCCCAAAATGTTAAGCCCCAAAAGAAAAGTAACAATATGCTTTCAGATTCTTGCACTGAATGAATCCTTTATTCAGTCCACCCCCACTTTGCAGCTGTGGGAGTATTTTCTCATGGCTTTATGAACAAATGATCCTAAGAAACAATTTCATTTGAAAACATTCTGTGTATTAAATGTTTTAAAACACTAATAAGGATATATATTTTTTTAAGTGTGTTTTTGCCTTGCTAGAAAGGGATTCTTAAAGCAAAATTAGAATTTTTGGTTTTTAGAATGTTCCTCTAACCTATTTACTCTTTACTCTGTATATCACTAAACATCAGATAAGATGTTTGATTACATAATCAAAATTTAAGCAAACAATTTATAAAGTAACAAGTAAAAATACGATTAAAATACAATCACTTCCATTACAAACATTTTTAAGATACACTTTTACTGATGGTTTATGCTTTCAATATACAATAATTAAAAAAATCCAATCAACTCAAGTTTCTGTGATTTGTTAATTCTGTTTAACCTTTTTTTTAATTGACAAAAGGGCTAGCACAGTGATGTACTGAGTAGCACAATCACCTCACAGCAAGAAGGTCGCTAGTTCGAGCCCCGCTGGGTCAGTTGGCATTTTTGTGTGGAGTTTACATGTTCTCCCTGTGTTCATGTGGGTTTCCTCTGGGTGCTCTGGTTTCCCCCACAACTCCAAAAACATGTGGTATAGATAAATTTGGTAAGCTAAATTGTCCGTAGTGTATGTGTGTGAATGAGTGTGTATGGATGTTTCCCAGTGATAGGTTGCAGCTGGTTTGCGGTTCATTCCACTGTGGCAAGCCCAGATTAATAAATGGACAAAGTCGAAAATAAAATAAATGAATGAATAATTCATAAAAGTACAAAGTACGGTTTTCTTTACAATTGTACTATCTTTAGGTTTATCAAACACTAAGTAATTTATTGATCGTTACTGTTCGTTTTCCTCTTTTCGAGAGGATCACGTGCTTATGATTGCTTGTGGCTGGTCCCTTATTATTCAATTTATGATTTACCAATCAGACAATTCCTAAGCCACTATAAATACCCTCAGTTCCATATAACAGCCATCTTTGTTTTGAAGAATCCCCGCTTCCACCCCTCTTCCTCCTCCTTTCCTAGATGGGTGGCATGGTGGCCCAATGGTTAGCACTGTTGCATCACAGCAAGAACGTCACTGGTTCTAGTTACCAAGCCTGATGATGTTTCCGTGCGGAGTTTACACGTTATCCCTGTGCTCACGTGGATTTCCCCTAGGTTACCCGGTTTCTTCCCACCGTCCAAAAAACATGAAACAATGGGCTCTATTTTGACGGTCCATGCGCAGAGCGCAAAACGCAGGGCGCAAACGCTTTCAGGGCGTGTCAGGATTCGTTTTGCTAATTTAAGGACGGGAAATCTGCCTTGCGCCGTGGCACATGGTCTAAAAGGGTTGAGTTTTTTTTCTTAATGAGTTATAGGTATGTTTTGAGAATAAACCAATTAGAGTCTCATCTCCCATTCCCTTTAAGAGTCAGCTGCGTCGCGCCAAGAGTGCATTCGCTGTTTACAGGACGCAAAGTAAGTCTAAGTGGAAAAAAATGAGCATTTCACTAGCAAACAGTTAACAGTTTTTTAACAGAAAACTGTTAAACAGAACATCTACTGCGTGAGAATGAGAGATAATGGAACTACTTTCACATTCGCTCTTGGATAGGGAAACCTTTACGCACAGACATCAATTAGTCTATAAATAAATACTTTTGTTTGTTAAGCGCAAATATTCGTTTCAAAACTATTTCTAAATTCAGTTCTAATTTCCAGCAAACAAATAAATGAATAATAATAACAAAATGTCTTCAAAAACCTGAGTTATATCCTAAAACACATGATGTGCCCCTTATGGTCTAAAACCTGACAGGTGGGCAAATCTAAGCTTGTTTTTAATAAAACAAATATAAATATGGATATAATAAATAATACTGCTAATAATAATAACATTATACAAAAGCAAATTGTTATGAATGAACTGAAAAACCCTCCCGAGATGAAGAAGACGTAAAAGCAGTGATTTTTCATATTTATATAGGCTAGAAAATAATATGTTTTGTAATATTTTAATCCTTTATATTTATATCCTATATCTATTCTTATTATATCCTATATATATCCTTAATATTTACATTTTTTCATATGTAAAGATATTTGCCTATTGCTCTCTTGTGCGTATTAAGCAGTGTGTAAGCGAGGCGCAACTCTGCACCAGAGTTTAGACCGGGTTAGTTTCGGTCTGATGAAAAATCTATTATAGTTTCTCAAACTAGCAACGCACCAGCGGTCCGCCTCAGAACGCCTTCCTTTTTAGACCAGAACGCCTATGGGCGCACAAATGAGCGCAAATGCATTTGCTATTTAAACAGCATAGCGCAACGCCTCAAAACGACTCTTGCGCCAAGCTGAAACTTCCAAAAGACTACTGCGCCACGCCTTGCGCCACGCCTTGCGCCACACTGCGCCGGGTGTATGATAAGGCCCATATAGTTAATTGACTAATCCAAATCGGCACCATAAACATGCTCCTAATAAGTAGTTATCTCTAAAAACACTCCTTACCGGTGATATTTCAGTTCAAGTAGTACCTGCATCCACATCCATGTCTGGTTTTCTCTTGATGACCCCATGAAAACAAGATTTACACCAACAATGTCTCCAGTTGTGTTTTTTGTTTTTTTTTTCCTTTTCAATAAATTCCGGTTTAAAATTAATTTGCTTCATATTATGTACTTTATGTCCTGACACAGATGTTAAAACTGCATTCGACACTATTATTATTTGTGCCGAAGTGTCTTTGTATAATTCTCAGTTTCAAAGATAGCAGACAGGTTGTCCAAGTAAACTAACAATGCATGCATTTACTTCTTAAAGATTTTTGGCTTTAATTTACTAAGATCAAAAGAATTCATGATTTCATTCAGTTTCAATTTTAGACATTGCATATAAATGACTGTTGTTTAAGGCATACTTTTGCTTTCAAAATGTGTCTGACTTAACTTAATTCATGTACAGTACAAACATGGTTTTGTATGACAAAAGATCAAACTGAACCACTAGTTTGTTTTGCAAATGAACATTGAATTATTGATTTATTCAAATACACGTTCTTTATAGGCATTTGTTCTTTCATTAAGAAAAAAAAAATCTTCATCCACTTTATTTTTCATGTAAGAGTGGATTCAACCATGTGTGTTGTTGACAAACATTAACTGTTAAGACTTCTGATGTCATTAACTTCCACTGATTTTTAGTTAATTCACACTAAAGTAAATGGTGAATAAAATGTTCTTTATGCCAAACAAGTAATTAAAAAAACAGTTCAATATAATGAATTTTAATTTAAACTCTAAATTTAGAAAAAAAACCTAACAATACTGGTACCCAGTAATACCCATAATAACATGTTTTTTGCATTTGGTCTCCTAATAATCCATCTAGCATGTTGTATAAAATGTACAGTTTTTTTTATTTGCTTTTACTGAAACACAATAAATTTTTTATCTAAAAAAGTAATCTAAAGTAACTCTTTGCTGCATAGTCAGAATTATTGTTTAAATATCTATGTGTGGGTGTAACAGCTGCTTGTGTGAGATTTTGTTTTGATGGCTTTAGACTTTCTGTTACTTTCTAACTATGTTTGGCAATATTAGCAGACTGTCAGCTTATACTGGGTTAATAAAGGTATATTTTGACGTTTCTTCAACAGACAATTTCTACAGTCCCTTTACAAGTACTTTTCATCTTATTCTACTAAGATGATTATCCTAATCTTAACCTAATTGTCCTCTAACCCATCAGCTGTCATTTGGTAATGTTATGCATAATAACAATACATACAGTTGTAATCAAAATTATGCTGGGAATTTTTATTTTTTAAATATTTCTTAAAATATGTTTAACAGAGCAAGGAATTTTTCACTGAACTTCCAATAATATTTTTTTTCTTTTGGAGAAAATTGTATTAGTTTATTTAGGCTAGAATAAAAGACAACAAATTAAAAATTTAAATTTTTTAAAAAACATTTAAAGTCAATATTATTAGCCCCCTTAAGCATTATATTTTTGATTGTCTACAGAACAAACCATTATTATACAATGACTTGCCCAATTACACTAACTTGCCTAATTAACCTAATTAACCCAGTTAAGCTTTTAAATATCACTTTTAGCTGAATTGTAGTTTCTCGAAAATATCTAGTATAATAGTATTTACTGTCATCATGGCAAATATTAAATAAATTAATTATTAGAAATGAGTTATTAAACATATACTATAAAAATAATATAATTAAAAATAAATTACTTCATTAACTAGCAACATTTCATCAAATGTTTTCACTGACCGTCGCAAATGCACTAAAATGTTGCATTAAAATATTTAACATTGCGTATTACTGGGTGTGGCTATAGTCATATTGAAAGTGAAAGCTGAAAAAAAACTCACAAAGCTTGTCCTTCATGCCTCGCGTGTCAGTTTTCTCGTCGTTCTGTTCATTTGAAGAGCATTTACACAGTAAGTATCTGTTTAATGACTCGTTTTGAACCGATAGCGTCGTCTTTATATCCACAAGGTTAAACTGTCACTGCATTGGTGTCAACAAGCTGACGAAACTTCGCTAAAAGTAGAGCGAGCAAGCATAACAAATGGTCAACAACTGTTAAAGCTTCTTGATGTTTACACAGTTCTCATGTTTAATCGTCGTGTTTGGCTCTCAATACAATATACTGTAGCTGCTATTCATGGATTTCAACACGGAAATGTTTTATAGAAATATCTGCGCGCATGCGTTAGCACCCATGATCGAAATCGAGCAAATATTCATTCAAGCGCTTATTTTGTTGTATATAATGCCAAAACTACTTATTATGCAGACATAGGAGTATGACCTGTATAAACAGTTTTGTTCGTATTTATTAAGTAATAATATTCATAAACACGTTTATATCTTTAGACAAAAACAAAGAAAATACAAAACATTTACTTTGTGAAGCATTAAATTTTTTTTTTTGTTGTTGTTATTCAATTTTGGATGTGGATGAAACATTTCGTACATTTAAGGATGTACTGTTGTACTCATACTATTTGTGTGTTTTTATTTGAAATCATTGTCAGCTGTAAGAATCGTTTAAAATGTATCATTTTAAAATGAATAATTTAAAACAAATGGGTTCATTATTCAACCAGAAAACATTAAAGTTTATTACTGAAATGACTCTTTTTGCTTTACTTTTCAGAGTAAACATGCCTTCAGTGATTAGGCAATTTACAGCGCTTTCTCTCTTAATCATTGCTGTGAGGCCAGATGGAGGTACGTGCTATAATAAATACAAAAATTAACTAATTCATTTTGGATCTATACAATAAAAGCAACCAGATTTCCAGGTTTAAATGACGAGTTATACTTTTCTTCTATTTTGTAAAACAGTTTTTTTTATACATGCTTTAGATTATCATTACATGTTGTTGAATATGAATGTGTTTGTATATGCATTGCACATGTGTGTATGTGTATATATGTGCAAATGCATATTTGTGTGTTCGTATAGGTGTATATACATGTATGTACATGCCATGTTTAAACATTTATCTGTACAACCTTGTTTATTTGTTTTATATATGTTTAATATATTTTTTATATATGCAAGTTTATGTCTGTGCATGTTTATATATCCCCCGAATGTCTATGCCAAATTATTGTTGAGAGTTGACCTTGTTTGTTAAATTATTTGAGTGTTTTTGAGATATTTAAATGAGTCGTGTGACGGTAGTACTCAAAAGAGACTCTAGATGCACCTTATCACTGTTGCCCTGATGAAGGCAGATTCTAGCCGAAACGCGTAGGTTTTTTAAGATTTAGGTACGTGAATAAAAGCTTTTTAAATTTTCCACATTTTTCGAGTGCCTTGGATTGATTGCTGTTGTTTTACTTTGATGAATCTCATACCCAAAGAGCACCAACCAAATATTTGAGTTACCCCTGATAACTTTTTGTTTGTTTTTTTTGGAGAACAAATTAACTATTTGTTGTTCTTCATACTAAAAGGACTTTAAAAATTTATCTTTAAAGAGTGGAACAAAATTATAATTACTCTATTGTCATATTAATGACAGTAGAGGTTTAGATCAATTGTTGTGCTAAAAGCAGTTTAAATGTAAACAAACCAATTATCCATGAAAAATTAAGTGCATTGCTACAATTTATTTTGGTTATAAACACCATGTCACATATTTTATCAATGGAACTTTCTTTCTATTAAACCATGTACATCCCTTTTATGTGCAGGCTGAATAATATGTAAAAGGCGTCATACATAAATGTATAGGGCGTCATGTCGGATTTAAATCAAATTTGGCTTATCAACACATACATAAAACACGTGCATATACACCTATAAATTACTCGCATGTATTCATTCAGTCATTCATTTTCTTTTCGGCTTAGTCTCTTTTATTTTCTGGGGGTCGCTACAGCGGAATGAACTGCCAACTTATCCAGCATATTTTTTTTACTCAGCGGATGCCCTTTCAGCTGCAACCCATCACTGGGAAACGAAAATACACAGTAATACACTACGGACAATTTAGCCTACCCACCTATACCTCATGTCTTGGGACTGTGGGGGAAACCAGAGCACCTGGAGGAAACCCACCTAAACGTGGGGAGAACATGCAAACTCTACATAGAAACACCAACTGACAAAGCCGAGGTTCGAACCAGCAACCTTTTTGCTGTGAGGCGACAGCACTACCTACTGCGTCACCGCGTCGCCTACTCACATATACACCGCAACTTGCATATAAACATAGAAACTTGATCTTTGCATATGTACACCCACAGTAACACACGCACAAACATATAAACTTGCAAACATACCTGTACATTCTGTACAACCTGTACAATTAAAAAAATATATCTATATATCTATATATATATATATATATATATATATATATATATATATATATATATATATATATATATATATATATATATATATAAATATATATATTTATTTTTTATTTTTTTTGAATTAGCATAATCTATTTTCATCATTCAACAGATGTAATTCCTCATTTAATTGCATTATTTCTGCATCCTAAGCTTAGTAATAACACAAATTCATGCTAAATAATGATCTTGTTCATTTATGCTCCAAGGACTTTTACGCTGAAATTAAAGTACTTCTTTTTTACATTGAAAACATTGAAAATTCATGCATATGCACATAAGAAGTCACTTGTATATATGTATATACACAGCTAATTGCATATTTGTTAGTGAATTTTATTTTGTATGTTTGCACAAGTGTTATTTGAGTGTCCACGCATCAACTTAACATTCATATGTGAGAGTTTATGGTAGCATATGCATACAGTAGATCGAGTTTATATGAATATGCGAGTGTGTGTAGGTGTGTTTGCATGCAAGGAGTTTATATGTATTTGCATGTTAATTAGGCATGGGCTGGTGTAAGATTCTGATGGTATGATAACCTTGAATAAAATTATGACAATCTCACAATATCACGGTAGTGTGATCACTGCTCCAAAATAAATTCTTTTCAGGGTGCTTTTACACATGTAGATCGATTGTTTTGTTCCAAAATAGGGATTAAAATTGTTACAATGTTGCTCTTTGTTCTTGGTGCGGTTCACTTTCACATGGCAAAGTAAACTCTCCTCACATTGGTCAGAGTGTTAGGGTTTATTTAGCAGAGTCCCGCTCAGCTGTCATGCATCCTTATTTTAATTTATGACAATGAGCAATAAGACATTATAAGCGAAAAGGTGCACTTTAATTTTGAATGGTGATACCCACAGATATCATCACCAAATATAAATCAGAGTTAAGTCTGTCTCATACATAACCTTGGCTAGAATTATGCATTATAGGCTTTACATTATAGAGAGGAATAACAGATGGACTAAGACTGCAGTTCGTAAGTTTCCTAACTGATAAACATCACTTGGTAAAATTTTCAGCATGCTTTCACTTTCACATTTGAGTTATTTGACACACTATAGTTCGTTTTAATCGAGCCAAGACCACCTCGTTCTGGCGATTTTGGACTAATTGTTTTAACGTGGATCTGAATGCGATTGCTGGATTCACATATGCCAAATGAACCGCACTAACTGTGGAAACGTGCCAGGTACTTAAACAAAAGTCTAGGTGTGAAAGCACCTTTACATTTCAATGTAAAAAAACAACAACTTTTCCCCCCATTGACCACTATATAATTTATTTTAAGAAACATTTAAAATATTTTGGACCTGTAGATTTTGGTGTGGAGGTTTCTTTTCTGCTAGATGTACTGTTGCCCTAAAAAACAAAATAAAATAGTTGTGAAACCTGTGTAAACCTAAAACAGATAAAAAATATGTACATTATACTTCTATAATTCTATATATTCTCTGGCGGTTTTAAAACCTTGACTTTTCCAAACCGTTTTATCGTTATCGTCCCATGCTTAATGTTAATGTGAGTGTTTATGTGAGGAGCGAATTTATTTGTGTATGTGTACAATTATGTTTGCATGCAACAAGTATATATGTGTGTGTGTTAATGTGGGTGTATATGCAAGTTTATAAGTATGTGCTTCTGTATGTGTATGAATGCATCAAGTTTAAATGTATATACGCAAGTTTTATATGTTGTTTTGAACATCTAATTCTATATGTTTATGTGCAAGTAATTTATAGATGTAAATATGCATATGTTTTATGTATGTTTTAATAAGCGAAGTTTGATTTAAAATTCTACACGGCACTCCATAGAAATGTGTCCTGCTTTAACGTTTTATAATGACAATTTTTGTTTGTACTTCTGTGTTCAACAGAATTGTTGGATCTGAAATGCCAACCCACAGTTGGAATTGTGGCGCAGACAACAGACATCAGATGTCAATACAAAGACAATGGGGATACCAATATAGTTGGAGTTTTCTTAAAGAAATCAACAGAGAAAAATTCCATTTTTCAAATGTATGGAAATAAGATATATGGGGATAAACGATTTACTCTTGAAAACCCAAGAAACGGTCCATCCTTGAAAATCACCGACACAATGTTTTCTGATGAGGGTAATTATGATTACCGTGTTGTAACAGACCGAGGTGAACAAACGATACGGCTTTCCATTACTGTCACAGGTGAGATTTAATTATTTTTATCTTTTATCTTCTATATCACCTGATTATTCTTACATGACAAAACCTGACTTAAGTTCTTAGCATGTTTAGTAGTTTTACATAGTTTTACATAATTACATACATTCTCATACTTTCTCTGCCATTTATCTTTTTTTAAAAGCCAACTACAGTGCTCCCGTCACCAGCACATGGCCTGAAACTCTAATAAATGGAGGACCCGCTGACCTTTACTGTAATGCTACTGAAGGCTACCCAGCAGGCTACATCCACTGGTTTGACAAAACTGGAACTAACTGGACCATTAACTCAGTCCTGAGAAAAGTTCCAAAAGACACCAATGGCAGGAAATCTGTGGCATTGTCTAGTAAACTGACTTTTAAGTCTATCAACAAGGACCTGGAACCGTTTATATGCATTGTGTTCAACAGCAAACATGTACAAGATGGAAAAAGCACAATAAAATCTCCTATATGTAAGCTTGCTTTTCTTACATTCTCTATGAATTGTTTTACATAGCTAGCAAGTTATGCAACTGATGATCATCTAAAAAGATCTGCTTTTTTCAGTAGACAGTTTAAACAGTAATTATATTATGGTTTCTGAAGATCTCTATTCTCAAAATAAAGATGGAAGAGCATGTTTTGTGACAGACAAAAATAAATGGTATGTTGTTTCTCTAGTTTCTCCTGAGGATCCTGAGAAGAATGTTTTGGAACCTGATACAACAAAGATTATTGCTGGTGGGATGGTCATTGGATCTCTTATTGTTGGTCTTCTGTTTGCTCTGTTGTTTTTCAGAAGAAAAAGAAGTTTTCATGGTAAGGACACCTTTAACATTTTTTAAGATGAGCTATTGTATAATATTATTTTGTGTTATATTTACATTCCAGTTTCCCAGTACTGGGTGATGCCTGGAAGGGCATCCACTGAGTAAAAACATATGTCAGAGTAGTTGGCGGTTCATTTTGCTGTGGCGACCCCTGATAAACCAGAAAAGAAGGGAAGGAAAATTATATGGATAAATTCACATTTCAGTGATGGTTTTCCTCTTTATATAAAACTTTTTACTATCAAATGAATCACAAAAGAGGAAATGTGATAATGCTTGAATTTTAACTAAAATGATAAAACAAAAACACTTCAGCTCATCCTTTATACATACAATAGTCAACATTTGAATTGGGTAAAAAAAAAAACCTGAAAGACCTCAGAAAGCATAGACTTGCTTCCTTATTATGCTTTGCTAGTGTTGACATAACTGGAATGTCACATGCTTCTTTTTCTTTTTTTTCTTCTTTTGTTAAGGTGAACTGTATTTAGAGATTTACATCACTGTCCATTAGTTCTGTATTTCTATAATATATCAGATTGCTGTGACAGTCAGTATAGATAAACCGTTTCATTTCATGCTGATTTTTCCCCATTTTTGAACACAGATCAGAGACGATCTTCTGCCCAACCTTTTCTAAGTATGAAATGCCATTTCAAGCGGTTTTTATCTTTAACCGTCTTTTTATTAGACTTTCTGTTCTCTATGATTAACAATTACATTTATTTTATTAACTATTAAATTCAGCAATTGGTTCTCTCTAGGGATAATTCTGTTTCACTTTACCATATATCAGCAAGACTTTCTGTTCTCTATTTTAAACTTATTTAATGCAGGAGTTATTTCTCTCTGGGAATCATTCTGTTTCACTTTCCCACGTTTCAGCAAGATGTTTAATCTCTACAGCTTTCTCTATCGTACATACTTTTTGGAACAGGTTTTAGGATAAATAACTTCTCTGGCCTTGGGATTTGCACTGAAAGGGCTTTTGCTTTTGTAACACTAGTGACTGGAAATGAAAGTTATATAGACCCCATTAACACATTTACATTGTCTTATGAATAATTAAAATGTCATTTATTTTAGCAGACTATGCGAGAACAGCAGAAGATGATCCAGAAAATCCATGAAAAGAGCAGCAGGTATGATCACATTTCATACTGTCTTTGCTTCATACATCAAAACAATGTTGCACTTGATTTAATATTAGATAATAGTTAACAGTTTGATATTTTTTTATAGCTGATAAGTTGTACTTTATAATGTATATATTAACTTTACTGTTTTTTTTTATTATTATCTTATTATTGTTTTTAGGACTGAGCATCCAGGCTTCACTATCATCATGTGAAATTAAAACTAACCCCTTGTTTTCATACTGAGGTCGCTTCAGATGCTTTTTATATTGTGTGGTAATACATAATGTAATGTCATGCCTTTAAGACTAAAATGACAAATTACTAGCAAATGCAGTTTACCCCTACAATAAGAAATAAGGTCTGTAGCTCCACACTGAGAATTTAAGAGATCAGTTAAAAACTAAGGAAATATTTTCTTAATTTGTATTTTTATGTCTGTCAGAAGTCATTTGAAATGAAATACATGTTATTTACTTTTAAAACAGACTTTTAAAATTATTAAAACACAAATTTGATGTTATTACTTTTTTTTTTTGCAGAGTTTATAATCACATAGTCACACATTTATACCACAGGCAAAGGCTACACACACTTACATACAACTACATGTAATTACTGTAATGCTGCCATTAGATCACTTGTCACAAATTCTTCAACACATCTATTACTGCTGTTTTCCACATTTGTAGATCTTTGTAATTCAAAAGTGAAAAGAATCACTGCATTATTTGTATTTTGGTGATGTTTCCAATTGGGACAATAACTTTGACTGTAACTCTGTGCCAATTACAAATTGTGGCTTTAAGAGTATGAATGTTTGTATAATTTCTTGATTCTGATCTTGAATCTTTTAATTGTTTGTAAAAATTTAAATAAGAACAGGTCATCAGAGATTATTAATACATTATTATTGGGATGTTTTGTTATCACTTTGAATCTGTATGCATTTTCATCTTTAAGTGTTTCAAGTATTTATGTTTTGTGTTTATATGTCATTAAACGAAAAGAAAAACAGTTGCTCCCTCTTTTTTAAATGATCACATCAGTATTAATCCACAAGAAAGTGATAGTGGGTGGTCTCACTAGCTTGGATGGTGGCTTGAAGAACAACTGAAGGCACCCCTATGTGATTTTGTTATTATTCTTTTATTTAGCAAATTTTTACTTAAAAACACTTAAAAATCACATTTGAGGTAATACTATAGGAATTTTATGAATAAATAAAAAAACTCATTTGTAGGTTACTTCAAAACTCTAAAAAAGAACTTTAAAAAAGAATAAATAGTGAATAACTATCATTTGAAAATGCTCAAGGGAATGGGTAACATATTTTATTAAAGACTTTATAGTACAATATATTTAATAGGACATATATAGACTAACAAACAAGCAGTACGTAAATTAATGGTGACGTTTAGCAGTAAGGTTTAGTTTGTTTAATAATTTGAACCAAAGAATGAGCACACTATTTTACAATATTTTGTTATCTTAAAGAATGATTGTTTCGTTTATTTTTGCTCAAAGTGCATCAACTAACTTTACAAAAACACATTATGAATTAAAAGTCATGTAGAAGTATTGCGTATATTTAGTTGATACTAATTAAAACAGTTAATGTTAACAAAATCAAGCCTTATTGTAAATTTGGCCAATTAAGGTCTTAAAAATCTCTGTAAACCCACAGTTATCTCTTAAAATTATATATATTAACTACATAAAGCTGTGAAGCATGTCATGTACTTATAAATGACTAGATTGAGCTGATGCTTTAAAAAAAAAAAAAAAAAAAAAGTCAACTGCAAAGTTAGACCTGACCAGCTAAGGTGGAGACTTTGCTACTGCAGCACGTTAGTGACATCTAGTGACTAAAGAGCTAAATTGGTGACATCCAGTAAAAGAAGTATTTAGTCTCAACCGGTGACTCTGGCTACGTTCACTCTGCAGGCAGCACCACTTGGGCAAATGTGGCATGAATCTGGTTTTTCATCCTCATGTGACTCATGGAATCTGATCTTTTCAGGTCAGATCTGTGCCACTTTAATATGTAGTTTTAAATCAGACACAGATCTGATGTTCTGCAGTGCGACCGCAGTGTGAACGGTTATGTCAGATTTCATGCGACTTTTTCATAATTTAAGCGACATGCGTCATCATTCTGTGCTGCAAACATCATCTTCCCCTCAGCAGCACAGTATAATGGCACAGAGCGATTACAGTACCACAGAAAAGTTGGTTGTTCGTGTTGAAAAAGATTTTGAAGGCATAACTGGTGCTTGTTAACTTATTTGGTTAACGATTGAGGCATGGGTTGATTGTGAAAGCGCCGTGGGTGTTGCGGATAGGGGATGCTTGTGCAAAAAAGGAAAAACTTTGTTTCTGAGAGAAAAAGGGCTGGTGCTTATGTACGTGTCTTCTGTTTATAATGAAGTAAAATGAAATAACTCTGCAAATGGAGATAAACCAACTCCACCTTCACAGCTCAGTCTGCGGCTGCTCATAAACCCTTGAGTTCACTACACCGGTGATCAGAGCGCCACGCACCGTGGTTGTCATAAATGACAAAAGATTAGTGTTATTTATCACAGGAGATTTAGGTCTCAAATGCCGAAATACACATTAGTAGTAGCAGAACAATCATTTACAGTTCATTAAATAGACCACGGTTGTCTGTTAAAAGGGTAATAATCATACAAGCATAATCTGACATCGTGCTTAAGCTGCGGTCACATTGGGCTTTTCCTCCTATAGACTTCCATTCATACGCACGCAAATGCGTCAGACCGAAAACGCAGGGTCATGTGTCAAGTTTCGCGAAAATCTGACCTGCGAAATTGCATCACTTGACTGATGAGACCAATCGAGGATCAAAACATGACCCCTCTGGACAGAAAATCAAAATATGGAGCAATCGCTCGCTTTTGTAAATGTCTAATTAGCTTGCTTAATCCCGCCCCTTTTCGCAGAGCCGCATGCCAGAATTTCGCATGCTCGAACTCTAGTGAGACCGCAGCTTAACTCATGCAGCACACACGTTTGCATAATTAGACATTTTGTGCTCTACGTAATGCACTTTTGCACATATGGGTCAGTTTAGGACCATGATATGTTCACACTGCAAATCTGATATTGGCCACATTTATAAGAGCAGTGTGAACAGCCGTGCGAAAAAATCAGATTTGAGCACTAAGCCTTGCAGTGTGAACGTAGCCTTAAAGCACATTGTTTCCTAAATCAACAAAATTTAAACAGTTTTACCACTTTGATATGGGTATGTTGGAAGCATACAGTATACCCTGCCATATATGTGCTTGTACCCTACAATGGTCAACTGCTAAATAGACAATCATAATGAGCACTGTTGGCAAACGGTACCTTTTGAGCTCCCTGCAAGATGTCTGCACTTGCAGATCATTATAATGCACATCTAACAATTTTAGGTTATATAAAATGTTCCCATAATGCTTCCATTAAGTTAGTTTTTTGAGCATCCAGTTTAGATAAAGTATTAACATTTTTGAAATATCTTTTCATAACATTTCAGTAACATATTAGATTATTGCTATCAGAATTTTATGTAAAATGTTATTAAAACATTCCATTCTTATTCAATTAATGTTTGAAGAACACTTTGCATATGGGACTTCCTGCATGTCAGCAGTCCTTTATCCTCTTATTCCCACTGAGTACAGTTACATTCTGAAGTTTGAAAAGGGAATGATTTACTGGTGAATTACCAGTTTGTAAACATTTAGGATGTGTGCTCATCAAGGTTGCAAAAACAAATAAAAAACCCGAGAGCACTAGCATTTACAGTGAGGGAATGACATCTGATGTGGTAGCTACAGAGTTTGTTGTTGTACTAGAGATAAATTATATTGATTACATATTATATATATATTATTTACAAAATCCTTTCAGTGTACTATAACAGCTTGTTACCAAGTGATAAGCACAGTTATTTGGCAAAACTAAATGTTAAAGTGAGCGGCGTTTGTTTGACAGGTCTATTTGCACTCTCCCAATTGATATTGAATAAAACCGTAGTCGAAATGGCCAAGCATCCAGCCTGAAATATACAACTTTATTTGTATCATTCTCATTGAAACTTCAAGTGATTTTACAAGAGAGAAGTTAAAGACCTACAAGTTCTGTGTAGTCATGTGCAAGAAATAATATTAAATGATTACCAGATTCAAAACTTTGTAGTGCTAAAAATCAAGGTTCTGCCTAAAAAAAAATACAGAACTTTACAAGGCCTTGGCGACACAGTGGCGCAGTAGGTAGTGCTGTCGCTTCACAGCAAGAAGGTTGCTGGGTCGCTAGTTCGAACCTCGGCTCAGTTGGCATTGCTGTGTGGAGTTTGCATGTTCTCCCTGCGTTCGCGTAGGGTTTCCTCCGGGTGCTCCGGTTTCTCCCACAGTCCAAAGACATACTGTACAGGTGAATTGGGTAGGCTAAATTGTCCGTAGTGTATGTGTGTGTTTGTGTATGTTTCAAAGAGATGTGTTGCACCTGGAAGGGCATCTGCTGCGTAAAAAAGTGCTGGATAAGTTGGCGGTTCATTCCGCTGTGGCGACCCCGGATAATAAAGGGACTAAGCCGAATAAAGTTAATAAAGGGACTTAGCCGAAAAGAAAATGAATGAATGAATGTACAAGGCCTGGGTAATCATCAACAAGCAAATCAATTACTTTTTTACAGCGAACTGCAACTGTATGGCAGGGTATGTGAACTTAATTAACCATATTTAACAGTTTTTGCTGAAATTGTTGCAATCAAAAGCGAGTGACGTGTATGATTCAGCATAATGTGAATTTACCTGATATAAAATAAGAACTGCAGAGTCGAGCATTTTAAATAGGTCCTCCTCACTCCATTCAGCTCTTCTGATGGCTGATAGCCAAGGACGTGTGCAGTTGGCATTAAAAGCAGTGTGGTGTATGGTAAAATTTAAGTTTTCTATTTTTGGACTTTTATTTTGGCATCCTACTGCACAACATGCCATTTTGCAACCAGTCTTTTTTTTTTTTTTTTTTTGCAACCGGTATGAGTGAATGAACCAGTGTGACAAAGGCTGGCAGTTCCTATAGTATTAAGTCCCATTCACACGGGGCTTCAGCGTCAACGCTTAACTGAAGGCGTGTCTGAAGTTGGGGGTGAAGCGATTGTCATTGAAGCGTCAGCCAATGAAATTCAGTCAGCAATAGGCCACTGTCTGAGCTGGTATATTTGGATACAGCGATCTGATTAACTGACGCTTATGTTGGCGCTTAAAAAGGTGAGCTAGTCCCAACTTCTGCTGCGAGCAACGCCTCTGAAGCGACGCCAACTGATCCACAATGCAGTTCGGCAACGCCTGATGTCACCCATTTAAATGGGAAGCGCTGACGCCCCGTGTGAATGGGGCGTTATCACTTTTATTCCACAGCCTAATAAACAGTCCTGATATCATTCATAATACTCTGAAGTGCCTACATCCTGTTGTGTAATGTTTGGTATATTAAATGTTGGTAATCTGTGAATTCAGCAAAATAAGGTTTTGCTTAGAAGCATAATATTTCTCTTTCATACATGTTACAGCATCCACGATAAGCATGCAATTTTGACCAAAACAACACATGTCTTCTTATACGGCTTGAGCTCATGTGCAAGCAAATACAATATGAAAGAATGCTCAAGCTCCAGACTTTCATGGATGCACTCAGGGCCTGTGCAATAATTAAAAATAATAATGTCACAAATAATGCTTAGGCTATTCATTTCATCTTAGTGTTTCATTAGAAACCACTATTAACTTTATTTTGCTTCTATATGTTTTTAAATATGTATACTGTCTGTATGACTTTCAAAGGAGCTACCACAGACCAATATTTTTAAGGTTGAGATGTGTATAAGTTTTGCATTTAAAAAATAGATAATCTCAGTTACCTGGATACCTGCCTCAGTTTTTTTTTCTGTTTATTAGCCAAATAAATTTAAAAGACTAGTTTTTGTGTTTAGG